CTTAGGCCTCCCTTTTCGGGCCCATTGTGCAACCACATTCCTGGGATCGCAAGTCAGCCATGGAGAAGGCCGATCTCGCGAGCAAAAGAGACCAACTTTCTAGGCCGAATATTTTTAAGATCCTCTGGGTCCAGGATACTGCCCTTGCTACCGCTACTGCCGAGCATTCAGGATCCTCCACGATCCCGATCGTGCTGAGATGCTTGTTCAAGTGGCAGTGCCCTGTCAGAAGGCCCACCACCAGTTTCAGCTTCAAAGCCAAGAGGGCATTGGTCTGTCTTCGTGACGGGTTTCCTATATGGAGTTTGAACTGCCTCATTCCAGGAGCCTCTCTCTAGCTGTCCTGAAACCTTTTCGTCAGGATTTCCTTCATCCTGAAGTTGCTCCAGGATCAAGTGACCCCCAAGATTAACTCTGGACCAACCACTGAACCCTTCGCCCCCTTTCTGGCCAGACCATCGGCCATTTCGTTACCTGGTACCCCTGAGTGCTCAGGGACCCACAAGAGACATACTTTGTTCGTTGCTGACAGCCTTTGTAGGCTTTCTATGCACTCTGACACCAAGGTGGAGGTCACCCCATACGAGGTGAGCGCCTTGATCGCCGCCTGGCTGTCAGTGCATATAGTGATTTGCTGGCTGTGATAGCCCCTCTCGATATTCTCTCGAACACATGCAAGTATTGCAACTACTCCAGCCTGAAAAATCGTGGCATGTTTCTCAAGGGTATAGTAATGATATGCCCTTGCGGACTGCCCATAGACCCCAGCACCTGCGCATTCTTCCATCCTGGAGCCATCTGTATACCAGATGATGCCTTTGGTGGGTATTATGCAGTGCCCGTTCTGTTCCCAGTCTATCCTAGTAGGAATTTTGACTTGGGGCATTTTCCTGAATCGAATGATCGGTGTTATGCTGTCCCCTTTCATACCGAGTGAGGGGTAGTCATCACAATTAGGGTATTACCCTCCTAGCCAGATGGTCATCAAATATCAATGTTGGAAATATACAGGGTGGCATTGAAATAAGTGCAAATATTTCAAACACTGAGAAAGCTCGACGTGTACTATCGAATGGGGTTATACCCCTTTTTCCACCCAAGGGTCTATATACACTGTAGCAAATCTGACTTCCCTTATGTTCAAATTTCCATGCGGTAGGCACAATCACGCGGAGTTCAATCATTTAAATTGTTTTAAAGTGGCGTACTTGATTTTGTTCTTGTATTTTGTTAAATTTTTGGGATGAAATTTCTCGTTAATTAGAAGAATTAGAACAAATTTGATATCATGGAAATATTCTTTAGACTGTATCATATTAATATTCTGAATATGTGCACTTATTTCTAAAGTACCTTGTATAGTTGGCATTTCGTAAAAAAAAAACATTATAGGAAAACACACGCAGACACTTCGGTTGACATTCAATACAGGGTGGAAATGTACAGAGTAAAATCTAATATGTTACAGACAAATTGATTAAATCTACAGATATTTACAAATGCAACATATACATGAGTAGGAATGTTCCCCACAGTGAAAACTGGTAAGAAGTTGAATGATTCAAATAAAATTTGTTGATCATTTGACATTAAAAAAAATGCATAGGAAAAATACCTTTTCTTAGATTTTGATGCAGCTGTTCATGGAAGCGTACCTGATTAATATACGAACATTCCAACGAATTAAACAAAACTTCCAAATACCTCTCGCACTACTTTATTATCGTCTGTCACGGCACTGCGCGAAAGTCGACTGCGATAAATATGTAACATGAATTCTAAATTGAATGACTGTATATCAATGTCAACAAGGTCTTTGCTAGTGTTGCATATCTTAGTAGAAAAAAAATCGACGATGTCTCGCATTATACAATATAATATAATTCTTCCAGATATGATACCGACAGCTGACTACTCGCCTTTGATCTGGAATTGACCGTGTTGCCAAAATGGCATGTATACACAAGATCACAAGACGGTGGACTAAAAAAATGTTAGTCGGCAAGTGCATGGACGATTTTCCTTCGAGAAAGTAGCACTTTTCTGGCCTAGTCCGGACGTCGTTTTCCGGATTAGGTCGGACAGGAATACATTTAACTACATATAATGACCAAATCATAGTACAGGGTCGCTACACTCAAAGAAATGGTATGGGTTGATTGACAAAAAAATTATTCAATCAACAATCATTATAATATTGTCCACATGAGATTGTGTTGCTGGCGTCTTATTTGGTTATTTGTGTTGTGGCTTTATATTATTTTGATATGATCATTTCACATTATACCTAGTCTGCAATGAAGTGATTTTGGTAAGTCGATTAGGAATGACTGTATTCAATATCGAGTTGTAATCTAGTACTAAATTTGGTGATGATTCAGATCATTTAGTACAATATAATTGGATATATCCCAAGGGAGGTTGTATATGAGTACCAATTTTTTCACTATCGAAATGGAAGACATATAATCCAAGATCCCATGAAAGCCAGACCTCTACTACTACTACTCTAAGTAGGCCCTGGTACATCACGTGGGATGAAGTTTAGGCTCGAGTTTAGGTCATGGCGCCTTTGGAAGGTTACAGGGAGCAAAGTTGCTAAAAATACCAACTAACTTTCGTCAATACTAACGGTTGGTTACTTGCTATTGAAATTCACATATTTACCAAAAATCACAAGATCGAATCAGCTACATGGACATAAACAAATCAACTATTTAATCGTCTGGTAAATGTTTTTTGCAAACGTTCCTATATCTGAGTAAATAAAGCTAACTGTTTGATGGCTTGCCATAAAAATTCACATTTACTAATAATGACGAAGCCGAATCAGTTTGGAAAATAAATCATCGAAATTTTCACTGTCGGTTGGTAGGTATACTAAACTTATGTTTGAAAATATACAACACATTGTACAGTGATAGCGTTGAGGATATGCTAATGTAAAATTCTGTAGAAGTTAAGTCTGTAGTGGTTGAACATATCAGAATGCAATATACCAGGTATCAACGAAGTTTTCAGACAAGTCATGCATAGTTTCCAGAGATCCAAAGGTATGAGATTTGAATTAGGCAAGGGTTTAAATTCGAGAATTGAAAAATTTAGCAATATTTCATATTCTTCCATCCCCAACTTTTGATTTTCATTGGGACATCCTGTATTTTACTTCATGATCGGTTAGAGATTATCATGACAAATCCAACGATATGGATTTGATATCTTTATTTCAAACGGTTACGAAGATATTCGCGTTTGAAATTCCCATATGTTCAATGAGTGTGACAGAGAAAGAAGTTTCGATATAGCGCCGTCTCACCCATTGAGCATATTATGGAAACTTCGAACGCAAATATCTCCGTTATCGCTTGGAATAACCCTATCAAACCCGGTAACGTCGAATTTGTAATTGTGATCCCTAACTGATTATGGAATGAAATACATCAGAGTGTCCCATTTGACAGTTGGGGTAGTAACCGGAAGTGATGAAGTATGAAATATCGGAAAACTTGACACCCGGAATGTTGTAGAATATTCCATATATATAATCATCCTGTATAATTCCTTCTGGATCCAGAAGCATTTCGAGAAAGCTCATTATTCATGATTTTATCGTTCTCAATAATACATAAAAAAAATTCCTGCCAAACAGGGCACGGAAAAAATGGATTTGTTGCATCAACTTATTTATGCTTGATGAACTATTTTTGTTGGACTGAGCAATTTTTTGTTGAATCAACCAGATACATGATTATTTCATGGAAGCAGCTTGTTCAAATCAAGAATGTAGTCTATATAATTGAATCAACAGTATAATATCAATTTCATCAACAAAATATGTTATATGGTGTTCTCAGAAACAAATTATGTCGATCCAAAATAATGTCGATGTTGATTCAAATATAAAAATTTTGTTGATGAAATAATGATCATTTTGATGAGAATATATCTTTGAAACAACATACAAGTTTTCTCATTCCGATGTAGCAATGAACTCGTTTGGAACGGATCATTTGATTGAATAAAGCAACGAAATATGTAATATCAATGAAATATTTTGTTCATTCTACATCAAGTTAAATTTTCGCCTCTAGATGGCGATCATTTCGCCTCGTCTATGCCTGCCTCGAATTCATTTTATACGTGAAGCCTGATTCTTCGTGTTTGAAATATCAGCTGGATAAATCGAACGAAGGATGATTAGCAATCCGAAATAGTTTTGCATCAGCTGAAGAGAAGTAATGACTGGAGATCTATGCTAGAAGTCCACTAGTTTCCTAGTTCAGTTTATTCTATCCATGTGAAATTTCATAAAATTACCGAATTAATACTGAATTTGGTTCAACAAAACAATTTGTGGAATGGAAATACAGTTTCTCTTGCATCAACAGAATATTTCATTGAATCAACTAAATATTTGATTGAATCAATATCTTGTTATTCTGATTCGAACAAAATGATTATTTGAGCCAATTCAATATCTCTTCAAAAACAATTCATGGATGTGAGGATGTGCTTGATTGAATAAGATCCAGAGTTGATGCAAGACATATTCACTCAATTCAAACTTCAAATTCGCTCTGAAACAAGATATAGACTCACTCATTTCAAGATTATGTTTCAATTCCATTTTTTCCGTAATCGATCTCGACCTTTTCGAAAGTCAATACATTTTCAGATAACACCCTGTAGGTCAACATTTCCGAAACAGTGAATTATTGAAAGAAATTGAAAATTGGCTGATCCAAACCAAAGTTATGACGGTTCGAAAATGGAAGAAGTGTTCACTTGTCTCACTTCGATTGTGGGGCAGTTTATTTAATCATCTGCTAAATGTTTTATGCAATCGGCTCTATATCTGAGTTAACTAAGCTATAACTGATTGATTGCTTGCAATTAAAATTCATATATTTACCAATAATCACAAGACCGAATCAGCCTTAAACCGACTTTCACACTGTCTATGATGTCTACGATGAATGATACTAAAAGAAAACCATCACCTTGGCGAAATTCACGCAGAACATGTCATAGCAGGACAACGTCATCGACAATCCACTAACGGGTTATTCCCGTGAGGGTAGTAAACAGCCCTACCCCGACAGGACCCACATCGCGAAACATTGTATAGGGTTTTATGCCGGAGAACACACCCCTTTCTCGATGGGGTCACCCGAGCGACGAGATAGTCTGGGCAGACGTTCGCTGAAAACTGAAAAGCTGAAAACGCGGCGTCGACGTCGCGGTGCCAGCTGAAACTGAGCCGGCGACGCTGAAAGTGATGTAAAAGCGAAAGGGAGGATACGGAAATCCGAGAGTGGGTTATTACTAACGATCTAGCAATATTTAACTTACTACACTGTTTTTGAGATTTCCAAAAGCGACCAGTTTATTTCAGAATAGTGACTTGTATTTCAGAATGTATCAATTCTATTTCAGAAGAGTCAATTGAATTTCAGATAGCGTCAACTGCATTTATGAATGATCACATGTATTTCATAAAGTATTAATTCTATTTTAGAAGTGTCAATTTGAGTATGTACAGGGTGGCCCACCGAAAACGTAGCAAGGCATTACAGGCTGGGAAAGAACTTTTCGATAAAATCCGAAAACAGGTCATACAATACAAAAAATACAAAAATCGGTTCAATTGCGTACTTTATTGCAATGAGTTTCTTCAAATGAATTCGCTGTTTTTGCCGATGCACAGATTTGTTTAGGCTCATTTTAGACACGTTTGAATTAGGTCAAGTAGTTGCTAGATACCTATCGTGGTTGAAGTGTTTACGAATTGTTGACTTTAACATTGATTATTTATTATGGTGTATTCAATTGCAGACAGAGTGGAAATCATTGAGCTTTTTTTCAAAAACGATGAATGTGGAAATCGGGTCGCGGAGTTGTTTAACCAACGGCATCCTGACAAACATGGCTCTGGAAAAATTGTTCGCGAATTGGTGAAGAAATTTCGCGAAATAGGTTCAGTTCATAACAAAAAGAGAAAGCCTGTGAATCCAGTACTTAATAAACCTACGGGGATAGCAGTATTGGGGCAAGTTGCAGTTGATAGTACGCTAAGTACAAGACAATTGGCCATTGCGACGTTTGTGTCTCATACCAGTGTTCAACGGGTATTGAAAAAATACAAATTCTATCCTTGCAATTTTGCGAAATTATGAGTGAGCGAGCGTTACACAATGGTAATTTTCTATTCAATGTGTGTTTTTCGAACGAGTGTTCCTTCTTCCTCAATGGTTTAATGAATCGCCACAATTTCCGGTACAGGGCTAACACCAATCCAAGGATTTTCCACGAAACACACGCAACACCCCCAGAAGTTAAATGTGTGGGCTGGTATTTTTGTAAACTCCATCGTAGGACCTTTTTTCCTTCTTGGAAATTCAACAGGCGATATGTACTTGGATTTACTACAAAATGCCATCGACCCAGCTCTAACAAATATCATTGAGAACGATCCCGCATACCATGAACAGGAACTGATTTTCCAACAAGACGGAGCTCCTCATTATTCCCAAAATGTACGAAATTATTTACATGACATATTTCCAGGACGATGGATAGGACGGCGGGGCTCAATAGAATGGCCACCTCGGTCATCCGACTCAAGTTCTTTAGATTTTTTTTGTGGGGACACATAAAAAGCCTTGTTTATGTATTTTTATGACGGTCACAAAACACCACCAGATACATTAGAACAGTTGCGACAAAGAATCATTAACATATGTCGCGAAGTGACACCCCGAATGCTCCAGAATGTACGATAACGGTTTGAACATAACTTATACCACTGTATGCAGGTTGCCGGACAGCAATTGGAACATTTACTTGACTAATAAATGAGTTCTGAAGTACAATTGAACCGATTTTCGTATTTTTCGTCCCACATGATGGTTGGAGTTACAACGCTCCATATTTTCTGAAAGAGTAGATCGACAAACAAACTTGACCTGTTTTCGGATTTTATCGAAAAGTTCTTTCCCAGCCTGTAATGCCTTGCGGTACGTTTTCGATAGACCACCCTGTATATTGTTTAACGAGCAAGGAATGTTAGATTTCCTACGAGAATGAAGTTTGCAGCCTATGGCTCATGCTGCAATCATTGTCTAGAAGTTTATTCTTCGCAAAACAAAAAGTCTAAACACAATTCTATGTTATATCGAAGACTGGAACCTTTGGCACGATAATACACTTTATACACTGTTTTACCACTAACCAAACCAATTTTTTATAAACGCCTCGACACGTGTTTCGCTATGTTATCATCTTATGGGGATACCAACGGATGGCATAATTCCAAAATATAGCTTTGAAAAAACTTTTAAAATAAGTATAACGGACAGAGAGGCATGGAAGGAAGGACCTCCTATCGATGCAGACATTGCTGTCTATACGGACGGCTCCAAAACTGAGGAAGGATCAGGAGCTGGTATTTATGAGGCCAAGCCAAAGACAAGAATCTCACTGAGCTTAGGCAAATACGCGACGGTGTTTCAGGCAGAAATTATTGCAATACATCATTGCGTGAAAGCATTGATAAGGCAAGAGTTTAAAGGCAAAACCATTGCAATCTATTCATATAGCCAGGCGGCAATCAAAGCAGTCAACTCTATGCAAGTTAACTCAAAACTAGTATGGGACTGCTTAGAAACCCTAAATGCACTGGGCAGTCAGAACAGATTGACTCTAGCATGGGTACCAGCACATACAGGGTACGAGGGCAATGAAGAGGCAGACTCACTTGCCCAAGCAGGAGCAAACAAAGCTGTTAATGGCCCAGAACCCTTCTGTGGTATTGCGAGAGCTATACAAAAGACTAGTATCAAATCATGGATGCAAACCAAATCTCAAGAATGGTGGAACAACTCGCCAGGAATGAGACAGGCTAAAGAGTTTATTTAAAAAACCATCGCCCACATTCACAGAATATCGACTAAGCCAGAAACGGAGTTCAACTAGAATACTAGTGGGACTTCTCACAGGGCATTGTAGGCTCAACAAACACAAGAGTACGATAGGTCTGACTGAAGAACTGATGTGCAGGTTCTGTCAAGAAGAAGAAGAAACAGCAGTACACATTCTTTGCCACTGTGAGGGCTTGTCAAGACTAAGGTTCCTTACGCTGGGTGAGGAAAAACCAGGAGCCCAGAGATACACAGGAGATCTGAAAGCTAGCCTATGGAGTCTCATAGAGAAGGCGGGGCTAGCCGAAGAACTCTAATCGATTTTGAGGGCAGACACAATAGATCTGAAAAGGTCGCAGTGTGGAGGCAGATAGCCCGAAGGCCCCATTCCAAATCTAATCTAATCTAATCTAATGTTATCATCTTCAGGAGAAGATTAAAATTCTAGTTTCAAGATGATAACATAGTTAGCGAAACACGTGTCGAGGCGTTAATAAAAAATCGGTTTGGTTAGTGGCAAAACAGTGTAATTTACAATTCTATGTGTTTCCTTAGATTCTGAATTGCTCGCGAGATGTCCCGTCTTCTTATCTTAGTCCTGAATATGGTGATTATGGTTCTTCTCAGCTCATCAATATCCATCGGTACAGTTTTGAAAATCAAATCTTTCATAGTTTCCAATAAATAATGATCCAGCGGAGAGAGATCAGGTGACCGCGCTGGCAAACGTATGTTTGTTGGAAATTACCTTGTCAGGGAACATATCTGACAGACACTCGGCAACCCTTCTTGCGTTATGTGGATAAGCTTAAGAATTCAACAGTTCTGTTCGCATATTCGATTGAAATTCAGTTTGTTAAACAAAACTGTTGGCGTTCCTTCCAAAACACTCTTCGCAAAAATGTTTTTCTGTCAATTTTGATCAACAGGAAAGATTCGATCATATCGTGTGATACACCATTGTAATCAGAAAAAAAAAAAGACTTGAAAAATGCAGAAATCCGATATGGCGCTCATAAGAAAAAACAAAGTTGAGTGTTGTAACTTTGGCATCAAGAACGTAATGGAAAATACGATGACAGATTCAGATTCCTTGTGAAAAAGTGCCTTGAGAATGTCCTAGTCAAAAGACAATTACAAATTTTCGTTTTCTTCGAATAATTTAAAAACTGAAAATGACACATCGAATTTCTTTGCAGATAAATGTTCAGCATGAAAATGCGCAACTTTGCTCTAATTCAACCGACCTCGTATCTCTTATAATAACCGAGATCCCCATGGTGAAGCTCAAAAAATGCGCACCCTGTATATGGTGGAAACTGTGGAAATGGTGGTATAGGCAATATTTCTGAAAAAATACTGGCCAGAGTTTTAGTGGCGTTGAATTCAACCAGGTTATTAAACTAAACATGGTTTCGTATACATATCTTCTATGTCTGATAATGCCAAACAAAAATCTAGAGCTATCAGATTGTGAACAATACAAAAGTTGAAATGACCGCCATAAAAATAGGAAGGTAAAACTTATGTCAAAACGGAATTACAAAAAACATAATTAATGATAATCAGATATATTCTGGATTTGTCATTAGACAGAAACAGAGAATGCGTCAGTCGTATTCACATTGTATTGGTCACGGTGTAGTAGTAGTAGTATTGTGGGGAGGCTGTAGCCAGGCAAGTAGGCCCCCATTGGCCCTTTTTGCCAACCCCTGCTCTCCACATATCTACACATCCCTCTTTTAGTTGTCCTTTTCGAACCTTCCCGTCCTTCTGATGAAGGTCAGGATGTCCGTCCACTCTAATTCGACCAAAACTTCCTGTTGTAGTTTATCTACTCCAAAGATTTCGAACCTCATCCTTCCATACGCCTCACACTCTCCGAGGAAGTGAAGTGATGTCTCCTCATCTTCTCCGCATTCACGGCAAGTGGGACTATCTTCCACACCTATGAGTGATAGGTGTCTGCGTAACCTGTTGTGCCCTGTCAGTATCCCTATAAGAAGGCGCAGGACTTGGCGATCCCTGCCCAGTAACCAAGTCGTCCTTGGCTTGCTTGGACCGGCCACCCGGTCTCTCGATTGCCTGCTCTAGTGCCTCGTCCGCCCATTCGTTAAGGGCAGACC